CTGCACTCTAGTTTGTTATAGTTTATAGGATAAAGGTATAAAGGTATACTTATACTGCACTCTAGTTTGTTATAGTTTATAGGATAAAGGTATAAAGGTATACTTATACTGCACTCCAGTTTGTTATAGTTTATAGGATAAAGGTATAAAGCTATAGATAGTTTTCGTATGACATATTTTCCCTTGGCCACCTTTTTGGAGGTCAAACTAGTGAATTTTCCTCTTTGAGCAACCAATGTTAAACATGTATGGCAGAAATATAAGGACAAAAATCTTTAAATACTAAAAATATGAATTAATGGATACTGTCGGTTGAATAATGAAGGAATTATACTGCACTCTAGTTACCCTGGTAATTATTGTTTATAGGATACACTTATACTGCACACTAGTTTGTTATTATTTACTCTGTAATCATTTTAATTCGTGGGGGTCAATGTTCATGAGCAAGCAAAATCTTACTTGTTAGTGGGCATGTAATTCCAAGGGTTATTTGTTTATATGGTGGTTCAGTGAATCAATATGTTAACAAAATAAAGGTTAGTGTAGATGCAAATTTGTTGGTAAGGGTGGCCCTCAAAATCCACGAACATTGGTCCCCCACAAACAGTAATGATTCCACAGTAAAGGATAAAAGTATAAAGATATACTGTCCTATACAGCACTCTTCTTTGTTATTATTTATAGGAATTGATGTTGTTAAGAAAGAATCTCTGTTCAATTTACGGGATATATCATTTATACTCTCTCGATTGAAATGAACTTTGTGTTATCACAACTGTAAATAATTAGAAAGAGTTATGTTTATGAAGTATTTCTCTATACAAAGTTGTATTATTTTAGGAAAAACATCCCAGACACCCAAAGTGAAGCAGCCAGTTGACAAGAAAAATGGAGATGTTAAAACTGACGAGAAATCGGACAACAGTGCTCCTCAATCCCCGAGCTCTTCCACCTCCTCAACTAGCATGAGCCAGGTGGCAGGAACAGTGAGGAAATTACAACGGAATTACTCTAAGTCAGGGCGGCAAAAAAGTCAAGCATGTGTGCTGCAGTAGTAAAAACCATCCTGTATTGCGCTATACATTGTACGTAATGATAACTTACTAAATCTGTCTTACACAACTCTAACTGTAGTTCCTGTAGAAAAGTAGGATTGACATATATAGATGTTTGATGCATTAGCGTTGAGTTTATTTTTAACTTAAATGAACAAGGGTAAATTTGATGTTTTTTATTCAGCAGAACTGCACATTATAGATAAAAATGTTATACATTTAACTGCTATTATTGTACATTTTGAGACATGTTGGAGATTTGCATTGAAAAATGTGGCAAATTTTTTTGTGTATGTGTATACTGTATAATTTAAAAGAAATACAATACAAACTCGCATTATTGTCCAAGAATTTACTAAACCTGTTGTAGATGTTGGTAATTTATTATTCTTATTTCATGTGTACTGGATTTGTCCCTTTTTATGTTTGCCTTGAAAATTCATTGTTTTCTTGCATGAAATCTACAAGGTAAATATTTTTTTAACACTGTGATACAGCATGATAATTTTGTGGATGTTAGATCTTTATTGTTATTTACATTTTAAATACATATCAATGTATACATGTAATGCTTAACTGACAGCATACTTTTCAGGTATGCTCACTAATTTATTTTCAATATACATGTACTGGAATTAGATCTCTGTATGTAACTTTATCGTTATAACATTTTAAATACATATCATTATATATATACATTTATTAACTGACAATATACTTTTGAGGTATGCTTAATAATTGATTTTCAATATACTGGAATTAGACTATAAATATACTCCAAAGGAAATACCGGTAATTGTGATTTTTACCATATATGTAGTTCTGCCTAGTAAACTGCTCAATTTATACATACATATAATTCTATTTAATACTAGTACATTTACTATTTACTAGTACATCTATATAAAAGTAAATATTATTTTCTAGTACTTAACATTATTTATTTGTACTGATGTATTTGATATACATATACTGTTATAAACTTGGACACTAGTGCATTCAATCCGTCCTAACCATTTCACTCAGGATGTTCATATACATGACCACGTGTAATTTTTTTAACATCTTTTGTTTCTTTTTACACAAATTTACAAAAACTAATCGGGGTATATTCACAGCTATAAATCTAATGTTAATAGCTGTGTTGTGTACCCAACATACAGCACTGATTAATGTGTATAAGCCCCTCCTAACATTCCTCTAATACTCATTTTCAGCAGCCATTTGTACAATTACTATAACAATGCAATGATTGACTTTTATAACTTAATGCTTTACTGTTCATGTTTGACAGCAGGGTACATGCATGAGATATCATATATAGCGAAGATTTTTTTTTTCTTAGATTTTTTATAAAGTACTGAAACTAATTCAATATTTGTTTTACCTGAATTTATATTTGACAATTTGCACTTGCATGTAGCCGTCAGTGTTGTAATCTTAATTTGTATTACATGTCAGAAAAACGTTTAATTTCTGTAATACTTTGTTGCTTCACCAATAATTTTTAGCTTATTTGAGCCAAAGGCTCAAGAGCTTTTCTGATCAAAATTTGTCTGTCATGGTTGTAAACTTGTCACAATTTCATCTTCTCCAACTCAACCTAAATTTCAACCTATCATGGCACAGAGCTTCCTTAGGTGAAGGGGATTCAGATTTGTTCAAATGAAAGGCCATACCCTCTTTCAAGGGGAGATAATTAAGAATCATTGAAAATTTAATCTCATCTTTTTATTAACCTTTTTTTTCAAGAACCAATCATGACCCCTGGTGGTATTTGAGACCAAAGTGAGCTATCAGTTTTATATAGGAATACATAGGAAAAATCTTTGAAAAATTTTTTCTTTAGAAAAACAACCGTGATTAGTCATATTTATATGGAAGCATCCTCAAGTAAGTGTAGATATGAATTTATTCCAATCATGATCCCTGAGGGTAGGGTGAGACCACGATGGGTTTTCAAAGTTTTACATAGGAACATGAAGGAAAAATCTTTTTCTCAAGAACAACAAAGCCATGATTAGTAATATTTATCGGGTATATGGTCTTTTCATACGGAAGCATCCTCTGATAGTGTATATTCAAGTTAATTAAAATTTTTACCCCTGGGGGGTACAGTGAGACCAAAATGGGCAAAGTTTTACGTTGGAATATGAAGGAAAAATCTTCTCTTTTTTTTCAAGAACTGCAAAGCTATGATAAGTCATATTTATATGGAAGCATCCTCAGGTAGTGTAGATTCCAATCATGACCTCTGGGGGTAGAGTGGGACCACAATGGGCTATCAATATTTTACAAAGAAATAAATGGGTAATGTCTGATGATGAACAGCAGGGGACTTAGTGAATCAAGTGAGCATTGTGGCCCTTGGGCCTCTTGTTTAGATGACAATCAATTTTATTGATTAAACACGGTGAGGATGGATTTTTGTTTTAAACCTTCCTCTCATTCTGTGCAATATAATGTGGATTCCTTACAAAAGATCATGTTTAAGTAATATCATAGGAGCCTTTTGGTGGGAATTTACTTTTTCATAAAAAGGTTATTTTTTGTGAGATTTACAATTTAAATATCCATGAAAGCAAAATCTCCTGAAATTAAGGAATCTACAGTAATCTTGACAATTTGTTTGAATTTATTTTTTGATTGCTGAGACACCCACCACTGAGTTAGTCTTTATATCAACACTTAGTTATCATGGCTAATTTGTGAAGATTTTAGCTTGATAGATGAAGGTAATGTTGTGTATTTATTAGATTTGTAAATTAATATATATGTAATACAAATTCTGTGATTAAAATAATTTCTTCTTTTCTTTGAAATGGCTTGTTTTTTAATTTATAGTCTACATAGTATTAAACATTACAGTCATTTTCATTTAAACTTGTTTGCTATATGTACTTATTCATTGAATACGTGTAGACCCTTCACAATGAATGGGTATGTTGGAATATCCTTGTCTAATTGTCTGTCTATACTACATGTCTACAAGGCACTTAAGTCTCTTTCTGGTTCTTCTCGGGGGTCTACAAGTCCTAGATATGATGCATCAGTGGTTACTTAGTCTGATGCATGCTCTGGATGCTGCATCTTGCCCACAAAATTGCTCCAGTGACTACTATGAAGTTAGCATTTAAGCCTGTTCTAGATTATTGCAAGAGGTGTCCAAACCAAACTTTACATGAGTAATCAATAGTTGCTTAGATGCATGAACTTGAAGCAGTTTCTTAAGAGTTTTGTTGACTTCTCAGGTTGATCGTTTCCATTTAAGTACAGCATCTATGCATACATTTAGCTTATCATAATATATATACCATTGAACTTCGGTATCTCTAACACTGATATCTCGAACACCATGGAAATGTCGAAGTGATTTAGAAGTCCCAACCACTCATTCACCCCTGAAGTCTTGAATTCTTGGATATCTCGAAGTTTTTTCTCGGTCCCATCAAATTTGAGATAACGAGGTTTAACTGTATATATAAATATTATGATGCATATGTCAATGAATACCCCATCTGATGCAAAAAAAAAAAAAAAAAAAGAACCTGCATATGAAGTACATTTCCTGCTTAAATGACTGCCCAGGGCAGTGTTTTAAAGGCTGTTCCCAGCATATCATGTGATATGAAAACCAAAGATTCCCACCAGGCATCTTGAATGTCATGTTTTGAGGTTATCATCTCCCTTATGATTACCGATGATGACAATTCTCACTGTATGAAAAATATGATACAAACAAACCTATCTCAAACTCAACAGACCACAATTAATCTTTGAGATAACTGAGAATTCAAGATCACTTCGACATATCTTCAGTATTTCAGATATCAGTGTTTGATATAATGAAGTTTATTTGTATAAACAAACAAATTGGAACTGTTGTACAATTCTACTGTGTGTCATCATTCTCATTGACAGACATAAAAATAACAACAAAGATAGCCTTGGCATTGTTTATTTTGCACTACCTTTCAACACTGGACACTGTGTCATCTATAAGTCTTAAAATGTCACTAGTTCTGCTGAGGGCTTGTTTGATACACATGGACAGCTGCTGATCTGTGAGCGGGGTACCACCTGTCAAAGAAAATCCAAATCTGATAATCCCATCAGAATTCCTGGGTTCAAATCTGTATACTATATAGGTACAATATTTATACTCACCAGGCTTATAAACCATACAGAGTTTGTCGTTTGTTGTGACAACAGTTAGTTGTCCTGTTGCCAAGTTTTCCTCTTCAGCAGTAGGATCAACAAAAAGAATTTCACTGAAATTGGAAGTTAATGTGATTAATACATCACCGATTTAGGAGATGTAACAATATGGCTGAAGTGTATCATGATATTTTATGATACAATGACATAACATGTATAGTGATATATCACCTGTAGTAATTTTTTACACAAAATGGGTTTTTTTGTTCTGAAATTGAAAACTATCTTTTACAATATCCTTAGACTTGTCAGACACAATCTTTATAAATAGTCTCACATACTCTTTATCTTTAGAAGCATCTTGATAAATACAATCAGAGTGCAGGATGAAATGCTGCTACAATTGAACCCATCATAAATAACTGTAGAAAGCTGAGCAGGTATACATTTTTTTTAAATTGTGATAGGATAGACTAATTTTGTGTATTGCAGCATATCGATATACATGTATATCGTTACACTAAAAACTGTGGAATCATTACTCATTTTTGTGGATATCATGGATGCTTCATACCATACTTACTTATTGAAGATTGCATACGTTGAGGACACAGGACTTGATTGTAGTTGAAGTGCTGAGAGTTGATCAGGGTAAGCCTCTATTTTGTCTGTATCCTCATTTAGTATGACCTTTGGTAATGTAGCTGTTAATGAATATGTCATTTTGTGCTAAATATAAACTTAAATATGTATTACATGTAGTAGATAATGATGACAACCTTCTTGTATAATTATTTTGCTTTGAAAGAACCTTGATATTAAACATCCAGAACAAAGTCTTATTACAGGTCTAAACAATTATGCTGTTTGAATCTGAATCTGAGAGAGACATAAAGTAACAGGTATAATGACAACAAAGCCGAACTGCTATAAATGTAGAACAATTAGGGATATAAAGTAATATTGTTAATTTCTTGGCTGCATGATAGAAACTTCACACATTTATGAGGGTCATATATGTGTGTGTTTATATGTTTCTTCAGACATAAAATTAATGGCTTGAGATGCATCACAAATAAAAGTTGTTGCTATTACTGAAGATTCCTAAAATACACCAGGAATTTTTTTATCAGGTATTTTTGCAAAAAGCACCACCTGTGAAATAAATTTTACTTTTATATTGCTGAAAAACTGTGAGTGTAAAAAAATCATAAACAACAGTTCATTTGCAAATTGAATTCTCCGAGTCATTTCGCAATACATGTATTAAGTACTTACATAAAATAAGGAATCTATAGTTATAGTTGGTTTACAGTATATATACTGTAATTTCCTTATTTTACATGAGAACTTAATATAGCAGAATGACTCCAAGACATCAATTAGCAAGAATAGGAATTCGTGATTTTGACAGTTTACATATTATTTCAACAATTTAAAAGGTGAAAAATCTTGAATTGCAAGTGTTGTTTCTCACGAAATTATGCAATTATTTTTTCCTCATATCTATTTAGGAATCTACAGTATTGTATTGCAACCACTGTATCATGATATTTTTCAGTCTAAGGATACCTGTATCATTCTAGCTCTGTAAACTTCCTCCCTAGTTCATGTAAATTTCTACATTTATTGTATTTAACTTAAAAAAAAAGTATACATTAACTTAGAACAAGCTGCATAAAATGAAACTGCATCAAATATACATGTACTATAAAATGTTTCTTACTGTTGTTTAGAGCTGCAAGTATTGATAAAAGACAGGCATCTGTGATATTCCCATCATAATCCAGACACACTATATCACAGTACAGAGTCCACACAAACTGTTAAAACAAATAGTGTTAATAGTAGGCAAAATGTAGAATTATCAGTTTAATTAAAACAAAACCTTAAGTAGTTACCACTGCTAACTTAAGATAAATATATACTAATTTCAAAGATCTTTAGTAAACTATGAAAACTTAAGTTCACAAAATGATACACCCCCCCCCCCCCTTTACTTTTATAGAAATAAAGGAGAAGACTTTAGATAAGAGATGAGAACCCCAAATATTATAAAAAGAATGGCAATGTCCATGTTTTGATATATAACCCCAAATATCTGTCCGATCGAAATGTTAAATAGGAGGTGCACAACTGCACTATATAATAAAGATTCTGTGAAATTCTCATTAAATTTCATGCAATGGTACAGGAAGGTTTGCAGAAAAGAGATGGGTATCCCTAAGTATTATGGACATACAGACAAGAAGGATTTATGGATGGACACCTCCACCACTTTTCAAGAGGGGGGTATAAAAATTTTAAGAATCCATGTATTCGGTAAAAACTTACCCTGCCAGGCACTAAACACAATTCACTAAGGTTTACACAATCCGAACTAAAGAAAACAAAAAAATTAATAAATCAGTTTGTTGTCATTGTTCCCCTGCAAAAATCAAGTCATCAAGAAAATACAAGAATTTATATAACAGACTGGCTTACTTTTTAATGACCTCAAGCATGAACTGACTTAAGACTTGAGCCTGTTCTCCAGGAGGTCCAGGACGAAACTGTGGGGAGCACATGGGAGATAACTCTACATTGGGCACTAAATCATCCAATGGAAAGATATAAATTACTATGTAAACTCAAACTCTCAATAACTAGACCAGTAATCAATAGTATTTTAGTCTAGTAAAGAGTCAGATGAAAGTGATTTAACATAGAGCTGTTACAAATTTATCTCAAAATTTGGACTACAGTAATTGGAAAGAAAATATATCTCCCTTTGTTGAAGGGAAGACCCAATAATGAATATAGCAAGATGAAAATGTTTATTTTACCTATAAATCCTTGTGTAGGTTCCTCTGTTCTTGGTTTTGCCAATTCCTAAAAAACAAAGCATGATATGATTGCATGTATGTGATGCAACAGGCTTTCAGATTCATATTCAGAAGTTTATTTCTCCTTTATTTCTAAACTGACCTAGTATCTTATTTTTCTATTTATACTTCTAAACTACTTTAGTTAATTCCCTTTTCTTCCATGAGGTACAAGATTTTGTATTCATGAATTTATTTATTTATCATTTATTTATTAATTATCAGAATTATCAGAACTTTTGCTAAGAAGAGAAATAACATTTTTGAATGGCAAGTATTTTTCTACACACACAGTACAGGTGTACATAGTCATTTAATAGAAATAAAGTGCATTGCAACAGCACATGATATGCCTGTCAAATATTTAAACAATTAAATGCTTTCTTTGGTTGTTAGTATGGGAATTAATGTTGCAGCGGGTTATGTAAATTTTTTCTGCAATAGCTGCAACGTCAATTCACATACTAACAAACAAAGAAGACATTTTATTGTTTATATTTATATCTGTACAAATAATCATTTAAAGTAGGATTTAGTAGATGAAATAGTGTATTATTGATATGTATGCTTTTTATGTTTCATTGATGGAACAGCCACTGCTCAAGAAATCTGTACAGTGATATGCTTATTGCTGTTTACTAACTGATTCATGGCAATGGTTTTCTTAAGAAATAAAAGAGATAATATCCAGTAGATGTAAATATTATACAATATCAAATTAATTTTAATACCTTTATAATAAATTGATTTTGAAAGTAATGGCTAGCCAATATTGAATAAGAACTATTTTAAATTTAACAGATGCTATCAATTGCAATTAAGAGGCCAGCTTTCTCTGCCCTGTTCCAAAGAGATATAGATAACACCTGCTTGATCAGAAATGCTCTACCAGAAATCTTCTTACACTAAACTCATTAATTTCTAATTTGCCAAAAGCAACTTTTCTATCAAAATGCTCATGAAACACCACTGCTTGATAATTAAATTACACCCATGGGACAATTACTCTTGTTATTGACACAAAGAAATATTTGTTATATATTGTTGTATATTTTACCATAAAAAAGTGTTTTTTTTATTTAACAATTCTTAATAAGGTAACTGCAATACTCTTACACTTTTTTGGGATTGTATAACAATTTTTTTTTTCAAATTTCACCTTAATTAAAGGTCACAGTGAATGTAAATAGGATGCAACACACCTTCTACCTAAGATGCCTTAATTGACCAAGATTGATGATTCTAGGTCTAATAGTTTTCCAGTTATGAGCCACACAGGATTTTGTCATATGTGGCCATATCATCTTAATTAAAGGTCATAGTGACCTACTTTTAATATGCGACACACTCTCTACCCAAGATGTAACAGCAGACAAAGTTTGATTATTCTAGGTCTCAAAGTATAATTTAAATTAGGAGCTGGACATGAAAAAGCTAAAGACAGACATGAACACCATAATACATCCCGTCGTAAGACAGGCATATAAAACATATATAATATGTAATTTTCACACATATACTCACTGCTTTGATACCACACATCACAGATGTATTTCCTACTTTAACCAATGCTGATCCATTTGCAGTTGTCAAACATCCTTAGAAGTACAGTATATTTGAAATCGAATAAAATGAAATCATAATGTTTGGCCTGCATGTCTGTCCCCTTATATGAGAGGGTAGAAGCATGAATTATACATGTTTCCTCTTTTTTTGTACCCTAACATGATAGGGTAGAAGCAAGACATGTTTCCTCTTTCTCATAAAATTAAATTTAATGCTATGTAACAAGAACAAATCAACATGGTTGTAAAATTATGTTCATTACATCCAAACCTGGACCAACAATGGATATTATGTATGGTTACAGAAATGAAAGACAACCTGAATTGAAAGGTGTTTACAAAATATTAATATAAACGACTAATAAGTTGGTAATGGATCAGAGGTTCTCCAAAAACTTTAAAGATAAATAAACAAGAGGCCCAAGAGTCTTCATGGTCTTCATGGTCACCTGAGTATAATACAACACTGTAAAAGTACAAGATAAGACAAAATAAACTGATAGATGAAGCTATGTTGCCCAAAAGCAAGAGAAATGGGATGATCAGGGATCTTTTAAATTGCCTCTTCTTGTCCCCATTTGTTACTATCACCATGTAAACTTTAAAAAAAAAACAATAGTGATTGAGAACTGTTAATAAATCCATCACTTTCTTTCACACATTGGCATCTCTTGGTATTTGGAGAACATTTAATTTACAAAAGTAAGGCATTTTTGTGGATTTTTTGCACCCTTGCTCATCATAACTTTGAACTTAGTTTGTTTGTGTGATACCCAAGAGTGAAGAAGAATATTTTCAAATAAATAATGCATTTTCACTATATAATCAATAGTGCCCTGTCCTTAAGCTAAAACCCCTGAACCTGGGGCCACAATATTGGAAGAGGCACTTGCTCATCATAACCATGCACTAAGTTTATCTGTTAAATAACCAACAATCTGATTAAAATCAGATTCTTTGATCCACTCACATAGAACGCTACACAAGGATCTGAAGAAACCCCATTCATGGTCATCTTCTGGTGACCTTTCTAATAAAAATATTCATTAAAATTTTGACCAATCAGAGAGATTGTACTTAAGCAACATTCGGAAAATGAATGTAGAAGTGAAAGTAGCTATGGAGAAGATCTTATCATTCATACAAAACAAAGAGCTAAAAAACAAGGTAAAAGCAAATACTAAATATATTTCTGTACAGAAAAGACTGTGGTCGTTCTTTTGACAGGCTACGGAAACCAGGTCACGATTTTCCGTTCGTGTATCATTGGGTATTTCACTAATGTAACTGAATTCCAAGATACTTCTGAATTCTATTAAGCAAACGTTTGGATAATTGAAAGGTCACCAGGAGATGACCCTGAATGGGGTTTCTTCAGATTCCTGTGTAGCGATCTATGCTATCTATGATTTTAATCAGATTGAATAACCAAGAGCAGATAACAAGATTTTCATATAATTAATGCATTTCACTATATAATGTCAAGAGAGCCCAGCCCTAACACCATAACCGGTAATGAGGACATGAAATTCACATTTTTGGAAGAAGCACACTTACTCAATATAACTATGCACTTAGTTTGTTTGCTTAATACCAAAAGCAGAGAAGAAGACCCTGATCCTGGAGCCACAAATTTCACAATTCTGGAAGAGGTACCCTTGCTCATTATTACCATGCACCTATTTCATCTGCTAAGTATACAGGGAAAGAGAAGAAGATTTTTTAAAGAATTTATGCATTTTCACTATATGATCATTTGAGCCCTGTCCTAACTCTAGAACCCCTGACCCTGGGGCCATGAATTCATAATTTTGGTAGAGGCTCAATGCTTATTACAATCACGCCAACAGTTAGACTGCTTGATGTCCAGGAGTAAAGAAGAAGAATATTAAAGATAGCACTAATTTTGATGGTTTTAGATTCAGGCCCCAGGAGGGCATGGACCATGAAATTCACAATATTTTTCCCCTTCACTCATAGATGCTATATGCAATAATTGGTTGAAATTGATTCAGCAGTTTCAGAGAAGAAGGTGAAAATTTTCAAATGTTAATGGACAACTACAAACAAAAACAGATAGCAATGCATCCCCTGAGTGACTTTGGTGACCTAAAAATTACTATACCAATGTTAATAACCGTTGCACGTGCCTCCCCCAATTCTCTGCCATCTGGACGAACTTCCTGTTCCTGTCAAATAAAAAGAAATAATTTTAAACATAAAAGCCTTTAAAGAACAGGAAGTGTGTGGAAGGAAAATGTCAGGTAGTCAAAATTTTTTGCTTTATTATTGTGATGCCTCAAGTTGCCTTGTTGTTCCTGAGAGTGCAATATTTTATATATGCTTTTATATAATCATATTTTAGGCGACATAAATTTAATTCTCTGGTTTTCATGCCAATTTTCTCCAAAACAGACGCGGGAGGGAGGTTTTTTATTTATCATTTTATTTGCGATAATGTAGATGAGGGAGGTATTTTTTTAATACCTGAATTTTCTAAAAAAAATTATGACAAAAATTTTTTGTTCATAGATATACTTTCCAAACTTTCCATGTCTGATCAACAGGTTTGCATTATCCATTCCTTCTTAACGTGTGAAAATCATAGGAATTATCTTTGAATGTATTTTAAACAAACTTTCGAAGTAGCCAAATCTCTTTGAAAATGGCTACTGGAAGCGATATTCGAGTACTAAACTACGAGAAAATGAGGACAGAACTTTTTTTTCCGGATTGGTTTCCGCATTACCAACTTTTTATTTTATCCAAAAAAAAAAAAAGATAAAATTTGGAATGCGGCTACCTAAAAACAGATGAGCGAGGGTCTGAGAACCATAATTTCAATTTTATGTAGCCTTACATCCTATATCTGGACCCCTCATGTGGCCAATGGGCACACTTAAAATAGAATGTCTCTTGACCTTTTACTTAATGGGTGCTAATTGAGAGATTTATTGGCCACAATCTCACTCATGCAACAAGAACCTGTGGCAAGCAACAAACCAAGACCTGATCGCTAAGCAAGTAGCGTGTAAGAAGTGGTGGCGGATGGATTTCTCAGAAAACCATCAGAAGAAATTGCACTCCATGCACTTGAGTAGAACCCTCAGGGCAAATGTCTGGTCAGATAACTTTCGAAGGTCATGTGAAAAGTGTAGACAGAGCTGGGGTCTAGGCTTCCAAAACAGATTGCACTGGAAGACTATTGCCGAGACTCTATGTTCAACCCGGAACCAAAAGGACCTTGACAATATATACATGACCCCTTAAACCAAAAATAAAATTTGTTGACTAACAATGCCATATGGAAATTTTACTTACCAAAAACTTTCTGAAGTAATCTTTTGGCCTCGCAGTTCTATAAAACAGTTAAAACATTGTATGTGTTTTTCTTTAATCTTATTAAGGATATCCGATCCTCAGCCAGGAAGGATAACTCTTAAATTTCTAATTTTATTTAAAAAGTCTCAAAATGAAGATTGAAATTGAGATCTTTTCAGGCAACAATTTTCATCTTATGCATCTTAATATGATTCAAGGTTCTTTGAAGTCTTAGAAATGGTCTTGTAAGAAGTTGACATTTGTACCCCATAAAAGAAAAAAATTAAATCATTTTTAGAGAATTTGAATTTCCTTTCGTCTAGCATTAGATACCACTGCTTATTAGCAAGATATGAAATTAGATGTGATATGTGATGTCTAGCAATGATAGCACAAGCTTTTTACACTACGCATTATATGATAATTGAAGTAAAAAGAAGAACTAAAATACTGTACAAGCATAAAAAAGATGCAATTTTCTCCAAATGCCTGGATACCTATATTTTTCTATCCTAATTTATATTTGTTGATCAATTTTCAGTTAGAAAATGCATAGCTGGTGTTTTTATTCAAATTTCCTGAAAATGTATTTGAGATTTGGTAATTTTCCCTATATAATATGATGAACTATAATGTTGCACTTTGAAGAAATTCCATGGGTAAATTCACATTACTATGTGAAATCAAAGACATTTTTGTGAGCATTTTCAATTTCTTAAAAGCTGATTTTCAGAACCTGAGGATTGGACTACCTTAAGGAAAAACAACTTTTTTTTCCCTTTCATTCTAGAACTCTCTTATTTAAAACAGGCTACAATACCGTATCTCTGTTGATAAAGTTGAAATTTACTTGTTTCACATTCTTTATCCACAAGAAATCTCAAAAGGTTACAAACATTTTTCATTAAAATTGAGGGGAAAAAGTCAAGGAGCAAGAAAGAATAAAATGAATTATGGTGAATTCCATAATTCTACAGATATTCCAAATATTAGAATTATGTTTGATTTTTTTGTATAAGTACAAAAATTAGGGAAAATAAAAACACCAGCTTGATACTCTAGGCTTGTAAAATCCCTGAAGCATCTATGCACATGCGATTGCAATATTTACCTAAAGTCTTCCGCCATCTTTGCTAATACACCGAACGACTTTTGCATTGACGATTATAATTGGTTGAATTTATTAAACTAGTCCTCTTACAGTATGTGTACTATAGAAACTTGTGCGATCGCAAAAGTTAAAATTTGATTGTTTTCATTTTCATTTTTCCTGAAGAATATTTTGCATTTTGTAAGTATTAAATTCTACAATTTATATCAAATTTTATAATTTTGAATGTTTACATTTTAACTAGTTCCATTATACAGTCTTTTTCGTGAATTTTCCATCGCCGGAAATCAAAGATTTACCGATGGTTTTTGTTATTTATAAAAATTACATTCCCGCCAAATATAAACCTGTCAAAATGGATAAACTTGTCATTGCTGATTATGGTAAATTTATGAAGAAGCTGAGCACAGATAGTGTTGACAACGTATTTCAAGATGTTGAGTATGTTTATATCACGAATTCAAAAGATCCTCGTTTGGCTGGCATAGGATCTCTAGTATCTCTTCCATTGCCAATAATTTTAGCCCAGAACCCGGGCAGCATGCTGCTCACTGACCCAGATGTTTCCGAGTTCATGCCCCAGGAATCGCTTTTAAAAAGCAATAGAAAGCACACCAATAGCTATGATGCAACTCAAGGATCGCCTTTGAAGATGCAAGAGTATGCAGACCTGTCAGATATCGTTGTCAATGAAGCACCTGTTGGAAGTTGGACTAGCAGAGAGCATTTCAAGTCAGCCCTGACCAAAATAGGAATACCATTCAACCAAACCAGAGTCGTAGCATCATTGTACAGCCTTGCCTCTCAAGGAAATTCTTTGCCACCCTTACTTATATTTAGTGATGGTCAAAATAGAAAGCATACTGCCTGTCAGATGTTATCTCGTGAAGAGCAGTATCTAAAGTTCACCGTCATTAAGGTATCCTTTCCGGAACCTAAAAATGGCCACTTTCCAAAGATTCATAATCTAAAGATTCCAGAAAAGCAGATGAAATACAAGGCACGTTATGATATGATGGGGAAAATGTTACAGGAACTTGTCACTAATGGCCAGGAATTTGCTGGATCGTTAGTGGTTGAAACTGACTGGACCAAACCAATCTGCACAGCAGTTTTACAGTCCCCGCCATTGGAGTCACAGGCACACATCCAGGCGCAAGTTGTTTCTGGGGACGAAAGATCCACAGCTAATGGGTTCTACATAGAACTGGAGATGTTAAAGTCATTTATTGATGGTACAGTTATATCATATAAGATTTGGTACACAAGTACATTATACCAATTAAGATACATATATCAGTTTTTGATTTTGACAAATGGTGTTGCCATTTTTACTAAAAATCGAAATTTCTTTGAAATTCTTTCAAAATGCTTCTCTTCATACAGTTTTGGTTTAATTAATATCAATATGTTAAAGACTTGGTAAACAAGTACACTATAGTAAGATACACCAAGTTAGTACAGACCTTTAGTCTTGTCAGAGACTTCTGGTTGTAAAATATTCTATAAGCAGGGTTAGAAACTCCCTAAAATTACAACTCGCAAATAATTGCGAGTACCAAGAAAGTGAACTCGCAATTTTATAAGACTACTCGCAATTTTTATATAAAGTTAAATTTATATAAATTAAATATGTAACTTAAGGAAAAAGTAACTACTGTACAATACACAAAATACAACTACAGTGCGACTTTTATTTAAATTACTGATTTAAATCAAAAGCATTGTGTTCTGTCATATTATATAATTTTGCTACAGTTTCAATGCAAAAAAATCAATTCGCAAGTTTTTGCGAGTTACCTAATTTTTAACTTGCAATTTAGGAATTCTAACTCGCGTTTTGCGAGTTGTATATAGTGAATTTCGAACCCTGTATAAGGCAGTGAAAGTGTTCTGAACTATATTAACAGTAGTCCATTAGCCATAATAAAAAAAATCCTAGATTCTCATCCTATATTTTTTTAAAAATTGAGACGGGCCGGCAGATTTTATTTTTTTTATTTTTTTCCATTGTACAGATTTTTTGTTGACCTGATCAATCGGTGCAGATTTATCTATAAAGTCTGAATAAAAGTCATAGTATAGGTCCATTAATCTTTCACAACCAATTAACCTTGTTTAATACATATTACAGCATTACCAACTTGTCAGCTGTCAAAACATCCCGACATTAGTGGGATTTAAAATGAAAGTTGGATGGTAGTTGAATACCGATCCCGATCAGAATCAAGGCCAAGAAAAACAGAAATTTAAAAAAAAAAATTGAGTCAGGGTAAAAGATTGGGGCGGGCTGGGATGAGAATCTAGGAATTTTTTATTATGGCCTTAATGTTACTATATGCATCAAGTACTAAAAAGTCTGACACTGAAAATTAAATATATGTTTGAAATTTGAGGGATATAACATTGTATAAGTATAATATTTATATGTAGACTTGTGGCTTTTTTCAATTTTTTTTTTTAAAGTGTGATGTCACCATTATTCATTTTTAGGACAATTTACTCACTCCGGTGATCTAATGCTATCTGTTTTTGTCAGTCATTGTGAGTAAACTTTTAACATTTTCAACATCTTCTTAAGAAGGAGAGGGGGTATACTGTTTTACCCTTGTGTGTCTGTAACAAATTTTCGTTGCAGTTTTCTCAGCAACTACTCTTCACAAATGCTTTAAGTTTTAAGAAACGCTTTGGCATACCATATGGTGGGATTGATTTTTGTACGAATCCAATGTCAACAGTCTTCACAACAATTTTTTTTCAACACATGCCCGTCGGGCATCTCATCTACTACTTTTACCAAGCCCGCACCAATTTTTACATGCCCTACTCAAAATTTAACTTCGTGAAATAAAAAAAATGCTGTCTTTACAGTGTATGTCATCAATGTTAGTAGGAAACATGAACCATTGTTTATACAAGAATGGACCAACAACCAAAAATTTCCAAGAGTGAAAAATATTCTTTCGGGTGGTCATGAACATATACTTTTTATTGCTGTATAATGCATTACCGAAAATTTTGAAATGTAGTAGGTTATCATTATGGAAAAACCTGCATGCAGTTTTTAACGTACTGAATTTGGATTCCATGTAAAAATCCTACAGTGTAATTACAGTTTATGTACACAATGTGGCATGATTATCTCGTGCATTTCAACAACAGTAGAAAGACAATGGGATTAGTTAGTCACGCTTCATTGCATATGACAGTATAATGACACCTGTTAAATTGATTTCAAACTGTGCATGCACTTCTTTTGTCAACTTATTTAGTATATATACATGTACTTGTCTGTTTTAATGATACTGTTACATTAGGTAATAAAAAATAAATTTCTCCTATTTACTTGACTACTGACGGCAAATTTATTTGGTATATATTAAATTAATACATATATAAACAGGGCTGTTAAGAAAGGTCAATAAATCTACAATAAATAATAAATCTGGCAAAATATGGGTAATCATTGCTATTTTTTTAAGAAATCTGAATTTAATAAAGGAGTGTTGAACAATTAAGCATATTTTAAAAAGGGGGGGGGGGGGTAACGATAACTTCTGACGTAAATGTAATTTCTTTTGATTTTATTTATTTCTCTAAGCTACTATTAATCTGCAACAAAAAGGGAAAAGGAGTTGACATGGAATAAAATAACGTACACACGTTAATATCAAAAATGAAAGTATAGACTGCAGTCCACTGTGTAAAATATTTTTACACAAAAGTCAGTCTGCAGTGGAAAAAATGTTACACATGCCCAGCGGGCATGTGAATCTTCATTTTTTACATGCCCGTTCGCAATTTTACCAGGTCCCGGGCATCGGTCTCCCAGGTTATTTCGAAGACTGTGTCAATTTCCTGTTTATCCATGCATCTGTCAATACCAATATTTCTTTAACTGAACTTGTCTACATATTCACATAAGAGGGTTAGCTGCAGAACTGTAGCTCTCTCCTTGAGAAAATTCAGACAGATAAAGCAGAGAGCTACAGATCCAAGCATTGTAAAAACCTTCGATTTATGCCAACACTTTTTTGTTGCTCGCTTCGGGCATCATTTCTTGTATTCTATCCTTTCCCCCACTTTAATAATGGGGGAATGATTAATCGGATAATTAATCATACATTTTACTTCTATTCTCAATACTTTAGTTACCTTTCAACGGTCCATAAAGGCCATATGTGGTTGTTGGAGTATCAATTTAAAAAATACATTCTGACATTCATGTTGGCATCATCCTGAAATAACACGCCGGAGTTTTATTTATCTCATTTCTTTTTTATATACTTAATTTCTTCTTTATAGACAATATACATGATATTTGACCTCCTGAATTTTTTATTTACATTTTCTCGGCAAGTGTATGTTCTTTGAAATTTTTTTCGCACAACCCCCAACATGGACGTTGGAATGGGAATTTTTTAAACGGACATTCCAAAACCATTAAGGGCTATTTGGGACCGTTGAAATAAATAAAGTATCGAGAATAGAAGTAAAATGTATAGTTAATTATCGGATACCAATTTTTACAGCGGGGAAAAGGATCAAATACCAGAAATAATGCCCAAAGTGAGCGACAAAAAAAGCGTCAGCGTAAATGGAATGTTTTTACAATGCTTGGATCTGTAGCTCTCTACTTTATCTGTCCGAATTTTCTCAAGCAGAGAGCTACAGTTCTGCAGTTAATGAGAGGGTATATTCATATCAGATCAGGGGTATTACTAGTGAGTATTGGCTCACAGACTTCTTGTTTAATCAGATGGTGCAGCTATGTACATTGAATTTATTGAGGTTCTTGTTATTGCAGGTTTGGAGTCGGGAGAAATTCTGTGGTTGGCCAATGAAAGTCATGTTCCTGTCTTAGAGCAGTTGAAAATGCAAATTGAAAAATTAAAACTTGGGGATGCTGCAAAATGCGAGAAAGAACAAAATGATGTGGTGGACATCCTAGGACTGGATTCCCTGTCTTTTGATCGACGGGAAGACCTGGATTTTACAGACCATTTATGGAATATCCTTATTCAGTGTACATCCTACAGTGAGCTGGAAGAAGCATTGAAGTTTGTTTTTGCTGTCTTAAGTAATGGAGAGTTTTATCCTATGGTACACAGAAAGAATAATACAGTCATTGCTCAAATGGTAAGGGAAGCATGTGGAGGAAAACTCAGAATGCCAAATTTAGCTGGTGGATCTTATGCCATTCAACTTTTAGCTGAAATAGGGCTGGAAAAACTGCGACAAGATTATGTGCATGCTTTTTTGTCAAAGGAACTGGTTGTACTTGGAAACATTGAGTCGTTCATAGGAACAGAGGGACCATTTACACAGAGGCTGGCTGCCTTAGAGAAGCTGCACCATGTCCTGGAAATGTCAGTCATGCTAAAAATGTTTCTAAAATTATCCATGCAAACCCTGAATTTCATTGCCATCCAGATGTTGAAATACTATGAAAATAATTCTCTTGACCAGAAGCACTTGTTTGATTTTCCTGTACCCACTTCTCAAGTCAAGTCCATGATTGAAAACTCAGCTCCATGTTTATGGCAGATGGAATTCACCAAACAGGTTCAGAATACATCAGAAACCATGAAGGTTGTGTTAACGGAAGACAATCCTTTCCCCCATGTTGGTTGGAGTTCTGTGTCTGATAACATGACAGAGGTGGGAAGTGAGGATTTTAGGGACAGAGTGTACTATGTGTTACACCTAGAGGAAAGAGTTTCAGTTTTGTAGACTACAGTAAAATAACATTTAAAGAAATACTGTAAACAGGGTTATTTTCACCCTCTCACACTTCCAAACAAATCTGCCCCATTTTAAATTTGCCCAGTCACAGTTTATTTTAAGAAAATAATACTGTGGTCTTTGAATTCACCCCATTTTAAATTTGTACATCTGTGAGTAGGGCGAAAGGGGCAAAATAAAACGGGGCGAAATTTTCCCTGTGTACAGTAATATCAAATGGTAAAATTTCAATATATTGATATCCTATTTGATTTAGGGACACACTCTTATTAATTATTTGGCCATCCTTTGACATACTTTGCAATAGTATGGTGTTTTTGTCTGCCTGGACATTTTTATTCCAGATCATAATTACTTATTTACCATGAGATGTAGCGTCAAAGTTTATCATTTAATGCATGAGGTATGGAGGAAAACTTGACTACTGAATATTCAAATTATGTCTAAATATGCTGTCATGTTTACGTTTTATAAATTCATTAAGACATATTGATCAAAGGTGCATGAGAACTAGTATTAAGCTATTAAGCTTAATTAAACTACTATCTTTTAGTTAGTTTTTGTAAAAACATTTCTAGTACCAATTGAAATGAATCAATGCAGTGTCAGTCCACCCAAACAACAATACAAATCTTCATTCTAACAGACGTTTTATGCAATCTATTAAAATATTTAAATATATAGATAATGATAATAAATGCATCCAAGCCATATTCTAAAATACATTTCTTATTAACTGCCATCAAAATTAATTTCAAACATTTTCAGTAAATGTATCTTCATTCTTGAATGTTTTGCAGTCCTCTTAGTTGGTTAGTAGACCTTAATTTTGAAATCATAATGATATGCGTAGCAAAATTGTGTCTGGACCTGATCTTGATTTGAGGCTGAGGATTAGGCCAAGTTAAAAAATTCTTTGTTTGCAGTTGCCAATCTAATATTTTTAGACTGAGTAGGTAGTTTTTTTGTTTTGTTTTTGTTGTTGTTGTTGTTGTTTTTTTTGGGGGGGGGTTTTTTTTTTTTTTTTTTGGTTTTTGTTTTTTTAAATTTGTAGTTTTCAGATTTTTGTTATATAACAAAAATAGTCTTACTAAACATTAAAAAAAGCTTCACTTGTTATAAGCCACTGATTGATAAAAACAAAAATAAAAAATAGAAAAATGAAACAATTTCAATATCCTGAAAGTTTTAAATTTAAAAAAATAATACAAAATAGCTCCAAAATATTTTGGGTGCATTTTCAGTGACCTCAGTAGGCAACTGCAAACCAAAAAAATTTATTTTAGGCCTTAGCAAATCTCAGCAGATGATGCCTCCTTTAGAAAAAGATCTGATACAGTCCAAAAAGTAAATATTACCGGTACATGTAATAGGTCATGATTGGATTTTTTCATATACTGAACACATGATACAGTAAGACCTCAACAGAACACTGAATGTAAAGGAGAAAAATATTGATGATACATGTATGTGTTATTCATGAATACCAGGATTTCTGTGTATTTTATTGTTAAAAATTGTTATGTTTTATTTGTATGATATCTAACTATGGTAACAAATACAGTTGAACGTCGGTATCTCGAACACAGATATCTCGAATACCATGGATATGTCGAAGTGATTTGGAAGTTCCAACCACATATTCTTTAAGTATTTTACCCTCAAATCCTCGGATATCTCAAATTTTTTTCTCCATTGGTGATCCCATCAAGTTAGAGATAACGAGGTTTGGCTGTATTTTCAAATATTGAAATATGTATGATATACATTTACGTTGTCACTGAAAACATTTACATTAATATACATGTATTGTGTTTCCAAATCTGTATAATAAAGCAGTACACTAAGTCAGCTTGAATTGGTGGAATGTTCTAGTATACAAATAAACATACCTGTACATTTGTATACATTTATTCAATTTATAAACAAATATCAAAAATACTTTATTTTTTATTCAAATCCCCTGTTTCAAAAATTTTCATAAGTTTCAGTAAAAAAGATTTGATTGCTACATATGAACCACTTTGAACTTTGACCTCAACTAAGTTGCCACAAATAAAAGTTCATTAACATTTTGTTACCAATGCTTCTTCAGCATCTCTACGGGTAGGAGAAAAGGTCAATAGATGTGCTTAAGTTTGAGAAAGTGTCCTGTAGTGGTGTTCTAATCATCGATTATAATCGAAAATCAGTCGATTGCTGGCATAATCCAAGCGCTTGATTACAAAATTTTTATTCTGATTAATCTTTTTTTTTACAAGCATAAAAGTTTTTAAGCCAAATATTCCAGCCACAACTTATCAATTAACTTATTTGTGTATCATAATGGCGCAGACGAGCAGACAATTGTATCCATACCCGGGAAACAAAACATTCCCGGGTATGGAGGTAAGTTTTGTATCTGTACAGCATATGAAGAAAAATTAAAGAAAAACAGATACATACTCAATAAAACACTCAGATGATATCCTTTTATTCTTTTACAGCACAATAAACAACAAATACATATGCAGAAAGTAGTCATTTACCCATTCTTACCATTTAATTAACTGAATTGACAGATCATCGATTATGAAATTCTTACCGATTTCCAGCACTGGTGTCCTGTTAACTAGAGGTTTGTTACAAAGAACACAGGGAGAATTATGTCCACAGGAGTAGGATGGTAATTTTTAGCTCACCTGAATCAAAGGTTCAGGTGAGCTTTCTGGAAAACTGTCTGTTAACTTTTCACATTTTGTACTTCTTCAGAGCCACTGCACTGGACTAATTTCAACAGAACTTACCACAAAGCATTGTTAGGTAAAGGAGATTGAACCTGCTTCAAATATGAGAATGAGCGAAAATTCTTTTAAAAATCTGATGAAAAAAAACACTTGGTCAGAAAAGATTAAACTTAAGCTTCCTGACATAGTGCAGATTCAAATTCAAACAGGGCCATTATTTAGGCAAATAAAAAGATGTGTGTTTCTGGTAACATATGCCAAAATAAATTAAGGTAAATAGGTAGGCGATAACTTTTTAGCTCACGTGAGCCGAAGGCTAAAGTGACCTTTTCTGATCAAAATTTGTCTGTTAACTTTTCACATTTTTATCTTCTCCTCAAGAACCATTTGACCAATTTCAACCAAACTTGGCACATAGTATCCTTGAATAAAGGGGATTCAAGTTTGTTCAAATGAAGGGCTACACCCTATTCCGAGGGGAGATAACGAAGAAATAGTGAAAATTGGGTGGGGGTATTTAAAAATCTTCTCAAGAACCACTGGGCCAGAATAGATGACACTTATGTGAAAGCTTCCTGACATAATGCAGATTCAAGTTTATTCAAATCATGACCCCGGGGGTAGGGTGGGGCCACACTGGGTGAACAAAGTTTTACATAGAAATATGTAGGAACAATCTTTAAAAATCTTCTTCTCAAGAACAGCAAAATCATGATTGTTGATATTTATAAGATGCATCCTCAGGTAGTGTAGATGCAAGTTTCTGAAATATACTCAGTACCTGTATTACATCTTTATATGTTATAAGTTTCTCAATGTCCGAACACATTTTCATAAGTATATATAGGGACCTTAAAGCTATATATGGCATATCAGAGCTAAAAATTACGAAATTGAATGTAGATAAACATGATATATGTTATTTACGTTCAAATTTTCACCGATTTTAAACTTGAATAACCTAGTGTTTCCAAAGTTAGATTGACTTTAAACTGTGTCTGTTATTTAAATGCGGAGTCAGTAATTAGGGCCCCGCAAGGATTTGTGGGTGCCCTACAGTAATCACTCTGTCTGTCCGTATGTCTGTCTGTCCGTCTGTCATTCTTCCATCCACAGATTTTCTGTTTTTTTCTAATATTTTTTTTTAGGGTTGACCAATTAAGTTCAAATTTGGTAAGTTGGTTGAATAGGCAGTAAGACATATTTTGATGCTAAGTTTGGGTCTCTATGTCATCCGGTTTGGAGCTGGGGTGGTGGGGTAGATTCCTTAACTTTATATAAGAATGAATGGGCAAAGAGAGATAACTGCTGAGAATGTTCCTATAGTAAACTATGAAAGGCTGCAATGGGTCTTTTGGGATTAATTAACTTTCCTCTTGAAGAAAATCCAAAGCATTTATCTTTATCTGTCACACTGAGATTAATTTACACCTCTGTCTGCAAATGAAGTTTGTTTTGAAGTTAAGGTCAATTCTGAATGATGTTTACATTCTCTGAAATGTGGATTTAAATAATGTTCCTACTTTATTTTGGTAAAGTACACAATGAGTGATGATTTTATTGAATTCTAAAAACAAGATATAGATAAAGATATCTTTTTCTTCTTCTTATTTTTTTTCTTTTTTCTTTCTTTTTTTCTGCCTTATGTAAATTCAAGAATACTATTTATTTTAACAGGTATTTAGATACAGTAATAACCTCATTTTATCATCGCTGAAAATGTTCTTATTGTAAACTTAGAGGAAAAGGTTGAGAGAGCAGTATAATTAATCCTTTGGGATTGATTATCTTGCTGGTTTCAGAAAATTTTAGAGGGTTATCTTTCTGTCACTTTAAGATTAATTAACACCTTTGTCTGCAACTGATGTTTGTTTTAAAGTTAAGGTCAAGCCTGGGTGATATTTGCATTCACTGAAGGCTGCCATTTTAGAAAACACTTGCTTCATTTTTCTTAAAATATACATTTAATTTAGTTATTATAGATATGATGTTTTTTACTGCCCTATATAAATACATACTATTTACAGGTTGGTGGATATTTAGCAGTTGCTGTTGCTTATTCTTCTTTATATATTTTTAAATTTTTGTAATCAAGTAAAATTCTCATCCCCTAATCTGCACCCTTATATTTCTACCCCTTGGCGGGGCCCTTGCTGACTGGTCAGATTTCTAGTTTTAGTTAGTCTGAACTTATAAATATAAAAAAATATGCCATATATGACTTTAATGAATATGCAAGTATCCCTAGGTATAGTGCAGATTTAAGTTTGTTCAAACCATGATTCCGGGAGGTATAGGGTGGGGCCACAATGGGGGCTTAAAGTTTTACATTGAAGTTTTAAGGGAAAAAAAGATATTCTCAAGAACAGGAGGGTCATTATTACATGTGGGGATCTAGAGGGGCCCCTGGAATTTGCAGAGTAATTAAAAGTATATACAGAAACAAAAATAAAAAATGACTTTGGACCCCTCCCCCCGAAAACGTTGACCCCACCATCACTACCATGGAATGGGTGTTTTTTTAATACCCCCTGCAACAAATTGCTTGAATATAGAGATGAACAGTTTGTCAGCGCAACTCCTCTTAAACTGCTGCACAGAAATTGGTCAAACTTTGCCGATATTAAAGACACAATGTGTAGATGTGCATATTACCAGGAAATTCCGATTCCATTATTTTTCTTGGGATTTCGGCACTTTTCAACTCAGATTTTTGATCATATCTTGAATATAGAGGTGAACAGTTTGTTATGCAACTCCTCTTAAACCACTGCACAGAATTTGATCAAACTTTGCAGATATTTAGTACACAGTGTGTAGATGTGCATATTACCAGGAAATTTCGCTTCCGTTATTTTTCTGGGAATTTTGGCACTTTTCAACTTAGATTTTTGGCCATATCTTGAATATAGAGATGAATAGTTTGTCAGCGCAACTCCTCTTAAACCGCTGCACAGAATTTAGTCAAAATTTGCAGATATTTAGTACACAGTGTGTAGATGTGCATAT